CTCTCTCTCTCTTTTACTTTCCCTTCCTTTTCTCTCTAAAAATCAATAAAAATATTTTTTAAATAAAATAACATATCTCATTTCATGCTTTTCCAAAATGCAATTATTTCTAGAGGCTTCCTGCTAAGAGAACACAGGAAAGTACTTTCATGTGGAATAAAGAGCCTGCCGCCTGCAGCCTTCACCTGCTAACCTGCAGTGTGGGGTCTCACAAGGCAGGAGCCTCTCTTGGCAGAGATGGCAGAGGCTCCGGCATGTCATTCTAGTGCAGCTGTGACTGGGTGAGCAGAGGAGACACAGCAAACCAGCCTCTTCAGATTCTCAAAGACTTAACAAAAGATAAAACATCCTCCTGACACTTTCTACAGTAAACTAGTGCCAAAGAGAAAACGTTTTTAAACTTATTTTTGTATCTACACATCAACAAAGTATGCTAGTTCACCCTAACACGAGTAAAAGAGAAAATGTAAATAATCTGAATGACAGTGCTACTTGTACATATATCTTATTTTTATTAAAAAGCTTAAATGACCTCAGAGTTAAGGTTACTGCAACATCAATTTATGTCTTGGAAGATCTGGATAGAAGAGGCTACCGTGACAGACACAACTTGTCTACACTAAGCAACTCCTGATCCCATCAGAGAAACAAACCTAAGAAACTGTGTCAAAGATCCACACTAGAAATAAGAATTCCTTTGTAGTTAGATGCGTCATGGCTTCGATAGTGATGACTTCTCTAGCTGGTTCTGAGCCTCACCAGCCCCTCCCTGAGGAGACTGTTGTAGTCAGCTAGCCGCGGCTCCACTGTAACGATGTGCAACCGAAAGGCAGTGATCAAAAATGCCGATATGTCAGAGGAGATGCAACAGGACTCCGTGGAATGTGCTACTCAGGCATCGGAGAAATATGACACAGAAAAGGATACTGTGGCCCATGTTAACAAAGAGTTTGACAAGAAGTACAACCCCACCTGGCCCTGCATGGTGGGGAGGAAATTCAATAGTTATATGACACATGAAACCAAACACTTCATCTATTCTACGTGGGCCAAGTGGCCATTTCTTCTGTTCAAACTTGGTTAAAAGCATGGACTATACTACACACACAGTGATCCATCCAAAAATAAGGATTGAAGCCTAAATTCCAAATACCAGAGACCAAAATCTTCAGCCTTGCCTAAAGAAACACCTTGATCTTTCTTGAACCTTTATTGCGTTGTTTTGTACAGGGTATTCACTGTCCTCATTTGTTGTGATTATAAAACAACTAGAGGCCCGGTGCATGAAATCTGTGCACGGGAAGGAGGTGTTCCTCAGTCTAGCCTGCACCCTCTCTAATCTGGAACCCCTTGGGGGATGTCCAACTGCCAGTTTAGGCCCAATCCCTGTGGGCCTAAAGCCTCTCAAAATCCTAACTGCTGACTCCTAACCACTCGTCTGCCTGACTGCCCGATTGCCCCTAACCACTCCCCTGAAACACTGATTAACACCTAACTGTTCCCCTACCATCCTGATCACCCCCAACTGCCCTCTCTGCCAGCCCAATCACCCCCAACTGCCCTCCCCTACTGGCCTGATTGCCTCCAACTGCCCTCCCCTGCTGGCCCGATTACCTATAACTGCCCTCCCCTGCCAGCCATCTTGTGGTGACCATCTTGTGACGACATCATGGTAGCCATCTTGTGACATCACGCAAAAGCGTCGTGCAACGCCACCTCGGCTTTTATTATATAGGATAAGCAAAGAAGCTTACATTTGTATTTATTTTCTATTCCATGCCTCTCTGCCCCATATATTTTCTCCTCAAAATCCATTACTTTCCCTAAATAAAATTTGTTCGAGAAAAAAAATAAAAAGAATTCCTTTGTAACTTATATTCTCATAGCCATATCACTCCAAAATCAGCCATTATTTCCTATATCCACCAACTGCAAAAATGTGCCACAAATTAAGATATTTTAAACATGACATCAGTATCTCTTTTACTCCTGGTGCATGAAAATTCATGCATTGGAGGGGGGTCCCTCAGCCCAGCCTGCCCCCCTCACAGTCCAGGAGCCCTCAGGGGTGGGAGGTGACCTGACGATCAGGGGAAGGCAAGCCTTGGCTGGCCCTGGGTGGCTGGGCAGCCGCCATCCGAGGCTTGCCTGCACCTCAGGCCGGCCCTGGGCAGCTGGGGAGCTGAGGGAACTGGGGGATTCCAGAGGCAGGCATGTGCCGCACATCTGCTGCCTTGGCAAGGCTGAGGGGACTGGGCACTGCCATCTTATGGCTGTGGGCACCACCATCTTTGAGGGTGTGAGAGTCAATTAGCATATTCCCCCCTTATTGGCTATGGGCACCACCATCTTTGTGAGGGAATGATGGTCAATCTGGATATTCTCTCTTTATTAGATAGGATAATCAGAAGAAGACAGATGAGAACAGCCTTTATTAAACACTCCTAAAGCTAAACCTGACACTTTCATCAACTTCCAGTAATATAGTAGTACATACATTCCTGGCTCTTTTAGCACAAAATATATATAAAATCTTTCAGACAAATAAAGCAAGTGAAAATATAATGTGACTAAACAGTGTTAGAAGGACTCCTCTGGAATCCTCTTAGAGTCAAGCCCCAACTAGAACCCAGGCAATCTTCACAAAATTACCTTATCTCCCTGTGACTCAGTTTACCTCCACAGAATAGGATAGACTCACTGTGAAAATTAAACAAATAGGACCCAGTTTTCACTGTGCCTGGTGACATTAAAGACTCAATGAAAACAGCTGCCACCATTCTCTCTTCATTTCTGCCCCCTTACCAGACATGACCCCAGTCCTCCCAGTCTTTCTGTGTTCATCTATGCTGCACAGAACGGTTAGGTCAGTGTAGCTAAGGTCCATTTACATTCTGTCTCCTAGAGACACAGTACAAGTACTGACTGCCCTTTGTCTACACTCAAAACTCCCTTCTTTACACAATCCTCAAATCCCTGACTACATCTAACTTGATGCAGTAGCAGAATTAGTTTACTGGGAAAACTGCTGGCATTTTCCACTGTTGGGTAGGGAACTGCAGAGTGAAGCTAGGACAGACTCCTACTCTGTCCTAGCCTCACTCTGCAGTTCCCTACCCAACAGGCAGTATGTACACAAAGGCAGTATGTACACAGTTCCCTACCCAACAGGCAGTATGTACCCAAAGGCAGTATGTACACAAAGACGAGGGTGCTGTCGAAAGAGACAGAGTAGCCAAAGGAGGGCGCACTGTACCTGGAACAACTTGAGCGTCAAAATTATGACAACAAATACTTTATAACCATCAAAAAGAAAAAAGTCTGCTGAAACCGGTTTGGCTCAGTGGATAGAGCATTGGCCTGCGGACTGAAAGGTCCCAGGTTCAATTCCAGTCAAGGGCATGTACCTTGGTTGCGGGAACATCCCCAGTAGGGGATGTGCAAGAGGCAGCTGATTGATGATTCTCTCTCATCGATGTTTCTCTCTATCCCTCTCCTCTCTATAAAAAAAATCAATAAAATATATATGATAGTTTCTCTCTATCCCTCTCCTCTCTATAAAAAAAATCAATAAAATATATATGATAGTTTCTCTCTATCCCTCTCCTCTCTATAAAAAAAATCAATAAAATATATATTTTTTAAAAAAAGAAAAAAGTCCTTGAGTCTATACTAATTCTCAACTACACTAATTAAGAGTGGCAGCTAATAAGTGTAGAAGAATGGCAGAATTAGCCCGATCACCCTTTACAACACTCAGTGTAATAACTGATTCAGGCAATGATTACTGATGATGTCAGATCTTCTACAAGACGGGCTTGGTTTCTTCACACAAAAATCAATGTCATAAAAAATAACAATGAAATGGGTGGAGAATTGTCTTAAATTAAAGGAGACCAAAGAACTTTCAACAAGTCTGTAATATATATGTCTTAATATTAGTTTTATAATTTAAACTACTAAAAAAAAAAATCAGTAGTACTATTTAAAAATATTTTTTTAAAAAGAGATTTAAGGAGGGAGCTGAGGGAGAGATGCCAAATTGTTTTCCAATCTCATACTACTTTAAAAATTCTGTCCTAGTGTTCCCTTTTGTATACTTTATGACTTTTGAACATTAAATCTAAAACTTAGTATCAACACATAAAACAAACTTGTTACATCACATGATGAAATGAATAAAATCCATATTTTGGAGAAACCAACTGAGCAAAAATTCATTCATGAAAAAGTGTTTACCGAACACTAATGTGTGTATGGTCTTTTCTGGATGTGCAAGGGCTCTAGCAGAACAACACTGCCATCTAGGAGAGAGGTAGGGATGGTTTGGTGGGGACAGTGGTGGCCTGAGGAGCAGGTGATAGGAAACATCGAGAGGTGTAACTGGACAGGAGTCCTACTCCGGGTCTGGATGGGGCACAGTGGGGAAGCGGAGAGATTTGTGGGGTAACTAGAAAGATAGTCACTCCTGTTTTGGGAAGAGTCAGACTGGGAGAAGAACAAGTTTGTGGAAAGAACAAAGTTCTATTAAGATATGGGTATGCCTGAGCTGCCCAACAGACAGCCAGACAAGGGTGAGAGTCAATGTGTCTTCTCCTGGAACAAGCCAGACTCTGAAAATATATGGAATATCAAAATTAATTGAAAACGACCACAGTGCAGGGATTTGGGAGTGACTGTTAACAGTTTCAGTGTAATCACCTCATACCACCAACACTGGAGTACTTCCTGCTTCCTTTCCTCTCTGATCCCCTCTCCCAATGTCCCATTATGTCTCTATCCAATTTTCTGAGAGAACTTTGTTGACTTCTCTTATTCTCCTAAATTCTTTGAAATCTCCAAAATGGAGTTAAACATTTAGGAAAACAGTAGCCATTTTGAAAGACAGTGGAGTTGGAAATTAATATTGAAAATTAATACAAGTATCAAGTTTTCATATCCACCCATAAAACGTTTTCATGAACAATTAAAAAGAGACATATTGAATGACTGTAACTCACTCCGTATGACCCTGGAAAACATTCACAGAGTGGATGGACGGGTCCCTAAAATCCCACAAGCGGAAGGTCGTGTCACGGGAGGAGGTTACCACGAGCCGTTGGGTGGGGTGTGTACAACAGTGCGTGAGTTCTTGGTCATGCCCTACAATACAACCAAAGACGACAAAAGTGCAAGGTCACCCATTTGCAGATACAGTTAGAATAAAGCTTTCTTAAAAAACACTAGCATCACCCTAACCAGTTTGGCTCAATGGAGAGAGCATTGGCCTGCATACTGAAAAATCCCAGGTTCGATTCCGGTCAAGGGCATGTACTTTTGTTGCGAGCACATCCCCAGTAGGAGGTGTGCAGGAGGCAGCTGACTGATGTTTCTCTCTCATCAATATTTCTGACTCTCTATCCTTCTCCCTTCCTCTCTGCAAAAAATAAGATGTATAAAAAAAAAAAAAAAAAAACACACACACACAAAAAAAACACTAGAATCAAAAAATAGTCTTTATGGTCTCTATTATTAATATTTATTCACTGTAAACATAAACACAAGGAATCATTTAATGACAGCATGTGTGGAAAACAGTAGCTGGAAGTCCTTTCACTTGTACATTTAAAAGGATCATGACACTCAGTGAGTATAACCCAGTTCCTGATCCTAACTGTTAAATGGTCTGGCAAATCTCTTTAACATGCTCAACCTTGCAAACAAATTAATTCTTAGTTCTTCACTTCCCAAATGACCTTTAATAATATTTGAGGAACCTTCTGTGAAATACAGTCTTTAACAATCAATCAGAAAATGCACCTATTGACAAATTTGAAATACATTTGTGATGGGCACAATTCTAAGATGACCTGGTATACACACCCTGCCTGATACCTTCCCTTGAGTTTGGACAGAACCTGCAAATATGGTGAGTTATCATTCCGGTAATCTCAGTACGTTATAAGGCAAAATAGACTTTGCAGCCATAACTAAGGCCTCCAAACAATGTGGCTATGAGTTCATCAAATTCAAAAGATGTCCTGGTGGGCCTGACCTGATCAGATGGGCCCTTTAAAGGATCCAGGCAGCCCTGGCCGGTGTAGCTCAGTTAGTTGGACCATCATCCCACAGACCAAAAAGTTGTAGGTTCAATTCCTGGTCAGGGTTATAGGTTTGATCCCTAATCTGGGAGTGTATGGAAGGCAATCAATTGATGTTTCTCTCTTTACCTTCCTCTCTCTAAAACCAATGAAAAAACATTCTCAGATGAGGATTAAAAATAGTAAAACTGTGCAGCATGCTCTCTTGCTGGTACAGCCATGGTTAATACACCTCTAGATGGGGACCATGCTAGATGCTAAAAGCAGTCCCAGCTCAAAATTCCTGACCCAGGGAAACTATAAGGTTATAAATTCATGTTATTTTAAGACACCACCTTTGTGGAAATCTGTTATAAAACAACGGAAAGCTAATACACTAGCATATTTCAAATATCTAGATACTACAAGCTACAATTAAATCCCCTAAAGATAAAATTAGGCCAAAGCCGGTTTGGCTCAGTGGTAGAGCGTCGGTCTGCGGACTGAAAGGTCCAAGGTTCGATTCCGGTCAAGAGCATGTACATTGGTTGCGGGCACATCCCCAGTAGGGGGTGTGCAAGAGGCAGCTGGTCGATGTTTCTCTCTCATCGACGTTTCTGGCTCTCTATCTCTCTCCCTTCCTCTCTGTAAAAAATCAATAAAATATATATTTAAAAAAAAAAAAAGATAGCCGAAACCGGTTTGGCTCAATGGATAGAGCGTCGGCTTGGGGACTGAAAGGTCCCGGGTTCGATTCCAGTCAAGGGCATGTACCTTGGTTGCGGGCATATCCCCAGTGGGGGGTGTGCAAGAGGCAGCTGATCGATGACTCTCTCTCATCGATGTTTCTAACTCTCTATCTCTCTCCCTTCCTCTCTGTACAAAATCAATAAAATATATTTAAAAATATATATATATATAAAATTAGCTACCAACAGTTCTATTAGAAAGGATTTCTGAAAAATCACAACCTGAGCACCCAGAGAACTGAAACTAATTCTGGACAGAAAGGAATGTGCAAGGTAAAATATAAACACATGCACATAAATCACAAGCACACCTCTGGCAGGCCAGGGCTAAAGTACCTGTCAGAGAGTGAACGAGCTCCGCTGTCTCCACGTCATACAGGTTTGCTGTTCGGTCCCAGGAGGCCGTCACCACCTGCTTCCCCCCAACCAGCCAGTCAGCAGCTATGACTACTCCCTGGTGACTCTTAAGGGAAGTCAATGGCAACCGGATGGTAGGACAATCACTGGACACGTCGCCATCCACATCAGGCTCATCCTTATCAGAGCACTCAACTTCATCCTCGCCACATATCTGCAGTTAAAGGTGAGAGCAGAGAACTCCTGAGAACTATGGGTCTTCCTGGTGTGGCTACAAAATCAGACTGTGTCACTTGTCTTTCTAGGATTTGTTCATCATTATGACAATACTGGCACAGTACACAGTACATAATTGGTACTCAATAAATTTCATCACCTTTATGGTTATGTGCTTGGCTAAAACCAGGGCCAAATATAAGGAGAGAAAAAAATCAGGGCCACTATAACATCATAGAGGCTACTGTCCACTTCTACTAATCAACAAAATGGCAAATACTAGTAAAATTATTTTCAACATTTTAAGTTTTTATCATATATTAGATATGTAATAAAACTAAATAAATGCAACTGAAAGTCAATAATTCATCATAATAAAAAATATATATTATAATTCTCAAGTGCCTGCCTATATTGCTAAAACAATAGATATGAAAGTTCACTTTATTTTCATACAAATCAACCAAGTCTTTTGTCAAAAGCTAAAGATAAAATAAAAACATAATAGTCACTGTAGGCTTCAGTTCTTCAAGAAAATATGTTTATCTATTCATTTAACAAATATTTATCAGTTGCTTACACAGTGCTAGACCAAAGAGCAGAAGGCACAGGGCAGGAGGAGGCAAACTCTGTGACATGTATAAGCAACAATGAACAGCAAGGTGCACACCCCATACTGCAATGAAGCCGGAGAATGGCCACTCACCGCCTCAGGGAGCTAACATGCTAACAAAGAAGACAAGTTACACATGTGGGGGTGCATGCACACATACATTAAAATGGAAATATGTATTGTGTATATTCACACATTAGTGTGGGAATACACACCATGTGTACACACAGGGACAAGTGTGACATGTACACACACATTGTATAGTGATATTTATAATACACACACAGTCCTGGTCAAGGGATACATGTCACATGCACACACTCAGATTCAGGCAATAATAAGTGCTAAGAAGGAAAATAAAGCAAGATGAGGAGATGGACAGTCATAAGGACTACTCTTATTCAACATTATCAGGGAATCTCTGCCAAAGTAACATTTGACTTGGGAAGTGAAGAAAACAAAGGGATATTTAGGGGAACAGTGTTCTGAGCCAAGGGAACAGAAGACGAAAGGACAAGAAGGGAGCAGATGAGCTGCAGAGTAAGAGATTACAGAGATATTACCAGTGTGAATCAGGTAAAACTTGGAAAAATAGAAAGGACGTTGGATTTTATTGTTGTGTGCTGAAAAATCACTAGATGGTTTTGAGTAAGGAAAAGAGATAGTCTGACTCATACTTTAAAGAACCAATGTTCTGTGTGAACATTCTAGATGGTTGAACTGTGTCTCCCAAAATTCATGTTGAATCCTCAACCCCAGTACTTCAGAATGTGACAATAGGTGAAAAAAAGGTTTTTATTGATTTTTAAAGCCAGAGGAAGTGAGAAGGATAGAGACAGAAACACTGATGACAGAGAATCATCGATGGGCTACATCCTGCACACCCCCTACTAGGGATTCAGCACACAACCCAAGCATGCGCCTTAACCAGAAACCAAACCGACTTCCTGGTTCCTGCGCCACCGCTCAACCGCTGAGCCGCACCAGCTGGGCGAAACAGGGTCTTAGAGAGGTGATGAGGGCCTGGCTGAGTGGCTCAGTTGGTTACACATCATCCTACGCACCCAAAGGGGGCCGATTCAATTCCTGGTCAGGGCACATATCTGGGTTGTGGGTTCTATCCTGGTCGGCACATGTATGGAAGACAACTAATCAATGTTTCTTTCTCTTTTTTTCTCTCTTCCTCTCCCCCCCCCCCGCCCCGCCCCTTCTTCTAAGTAGGGAAGATTTTTTAAAAAAAGAGAGAATTAAGAGTTAAAATGGGGTCATCTGGGTAGGCCTTAATCTAGTATGACTGGTGTCCCTAAAAGAGGACAGGAGGACAGACACACAGAGATGGCCATATGAGAACACTGGAAGATGGCTGCCAACATACCAATGTCCTGGGCTCAGGAAAAAGGACCCCTTCTGACAACTGGATCTGAGATTTCCATCCCCCAGGACCATGAGACAAGGATCATCTGATTTTTAAGCTCCTTCTGTGGTGCTTTATTACAGCAACCCAAACACTGAAACCGGGGAGACTAACAGAAAGTGATCAACAAGTACAGGTAGTGGAAGGGAGCCTGGATGGGTAGTAGAAAACACAAGAAAGGTTAAATTAAGACACCCTCTAAGACAGCTCATGATCTGCCGATAGCCAAATGCCTGTGAGAAAAATTATGGATGATTTACAGGTGTTTAGTCTAAACAATAGGGTGAAGGATAAAGGCTGAAACAGGGGACAAAACAAGAGCAGTTGTGGAAACATCCAGAGCTCAATTTCACACACATTAGTTTTGCAATGTCTGTAAGACACCCAAGTAGAAACTGAGTAAGTAGTTAGATGTCATAGAAGTCTGGAGTTGAGGACAGTATGCAAACCTGGGGGGGCGGGGAGGGGTGGCAAGGGTCAGCAGCAAGGGATGTTCCTTAAAATCACAGGTCTCAGATCAACTAGATTAGAGAAAGATGGCAATAATAAAGCCATGTTACGAGCCTTAAAGACACTGAGGTCATTAAGGTCCCTGAAAATGGCAATAAAAAGAAAAGAAGAAGAAAAAAAAAAAAGATCAACTAGAGAGTAGTGTGGGAGGAAAACAACAATAACCTACAAGCAAGTAAGAGGCAAGGAGGTGATTCACACAGAGGTGAGTGCTGGGAGGTGACCCACACACAGCTAAGAGGGTCAAGTGTCAGAGACCCAGGAGTCATTGGGAAGAGGAGGTGACCCAGCCAAGAGACTCAAGAGGAAGAAAATGAGAGAAACACAAAATGTGAGATGGAGAGAGGGTCACACTGTGATAACAATTTAGGAGGAGCCCGAGGATTGACTGCAACTGTCTGCTGGATGGGCAACATAGATGGGATGCTGATGTGAGAAGCCCAGCAAGGACACAGCATATCCTAGAGAAGTGAGAAGGGAGAGGGAAAGGAGTGCAAGGACAAGTCTGAGGTCTGCATAGGAAAACCAACACCCCGTGGGAAAGAACGCTCAAGTGGGTTAAGGGGTGGCTACTACACCGTCTGTGTGCTGCTGGGAACGACACAAGAAAATAAGGAGGCAGGTGAAAATCTGCTGAGGGGAAAGTGAGAAAGTCACCCAGGAATGTGGCAGAAACGTGGCCTAGAGGAGTGTCACAGCTCAGAGTTGCTTGGTGGTGAGGCTGGTCACAGGGTGCTCATTGATCAATGCTTGAGGGACATGGGAAATGCCAGGTGTAACACAGGTAGATTTGTCCAGGAGAGAACGCACAATCTTGTGGCAAAGTTAAACATAAATGATTACACAAATCATCTATTCCATATGAATGTTAAATGCTACAAAGGATGCTCTGAAAGTAAGTCAGGCGGTCTGCAACACTGAGAGGTACCTGCAGGATGAGGAATGGTGTGAGGGGAAAAGAACCAGAAGGGAGGGAGAAGGTGTGGAGTCAGGGCAGCAAGCCCAGCCCAGGGGCTGGAGAAGGGAGGGAATGCAAACTGAAATAAGGGTCTACAAGGACTCACTGAGTTGACTCACTGCGATTCAATGCTACAAAGACCATGTCTGGTTTCACAGAGAAGAGGCTGGACATGAGCAGTCAGATCTGAGACAGGGAGACTAGTTAGAAGACTAGATAGTGATCTTGACTAGAGATGGTGACAGCGAATAAGTTCCTGTGGAGTGTAGCCTGCTCAGGGTAAACCATTCCCTGTCTGGTAAACAGCATCTAGAAGGGAAAAACAAGTCACTTATACATCCTGATGGAGACACTGTGGCCCAAACTCTCCTTCAGGGGACCCTGGTTCCTGGGCAAAGGGGGTTTTTGCCCTCACAGCCACTCCTGAGGAACTTTGCTATCTCCTGGGCCGACAAGTGGGGGAGGGGGGGCGCGGGCACGGAGTGGAGCGGGCAAGGAGGTGATCTGGATGGCTGGGGGTGGTGTCTGGATGGCTCTGTGGGAAATGCAGAATAGGGACGCCAGGTAGGGGAAACTCAGTGGACACCTCAGGGTGGATGTTACAAAAGGAGTGTCACAGGGAGACAGACGTGGATCCAAGATTTAGGAACCAGAACCAGAAAGACATCACGTATTAGGTAGAAATGGAGGGGGGGAGGTGAGAGCAGGGAAGAGTCAAAGACAAGTGACAGTTCTATCACCCAGACCTGCAGCAGTGAGCCTAATAGGCTCTTCACGAACTATTCTAATGGAAGAAGTGGCAAGTCGGCATGCAAAGGAGCAAATTCTGCCAGGGGAATGGAAGGTCTGGGGCAGGCTGCGCGTGCAGTGTGGCCTTGGAACAGTGCAGTGGAGACCCTGATGTGGGAAGGGTGCAGGAGTGCAGAAAAACGGCCTGGAGCTCCAATGTAAAAAGTCCTAGTTATCAGGATCCACGTTTGAGAGATCAAAGAGAGTCACATTTACAGAAGTTATTTTATTTTATTTTATAATATATTTTACTGGTTTTTTACAGCGAGGAAGAGAGAGGGAGTTAGAAACATTGATGAGAGAGAAACATCGATCAGCTGTCTCTTGCACACCCCCTACTGGGGATGTGCCCGCAACCAAGGTACATGCCTTTGACAGGAATTGAACCCGGGACCCTAGAGTCCGCAAGCCGATGCTCTATCCACTGAACCAAACCGGTTTCAGGTACAGAAGTTATTTTAGAAAACTAAATGATTAAACACAAGGAATTAAAATATATTTAAAACACAAATGTAGTAAGTTATATTAAAAGAAAACTGTAAAACCTTTAACCCTAAGCTGGAAAAGGGCAAGAGGTGGGAGGGTGAGAATTGTTTATGATTTTTGCCACTGTCTTGTAGACAATCTAATTTTAGTCATTTTTACTAACAATAATGGGGAGTGTGCCAAGAACTGCCAATTTCATACTAAGAACCTACTGAGAACCAGTCATGCAGAACCACAAGTCCCTGAGTCACATGTTCTCATGTAGAAAGGACCACTGGGAGACCATATGTAACTCATATTGATTTTCACTTTCAAATGGAGAAAATTCATCCCACTAAGTTAAATTAATTACTTAACATTATACAACTAGCATGATACAGCGATCAAACAGGCAATCTAAAACTGTTTACATGAGCTCTAGCTGGTTTGGCTCAGTGGATAGAGCATTGATCTGCAATTTGAAGGGTCTTAGGTTCAATTCCAGTCAAGGGCACAGGCCCGGTTTACAGGTTCAATCCCCATTAGGGATGTACAGAAGGCAGCCAATCAATGATTCTTTCTCATCACTGATGTTTCTATCTCTCTCTTCCTCTCCGAAATCAAAATTATTTTTAAAAAGAAAAGAAAAATGGAAAGGAATAACTTAAAAAAAAAAAAAAACACTTTAAAACTGTTCACAGGATATCACTCAAATATTTTTCTATCAAGATGGTGGATGCCAAATTAAAAGGAGAAAATGTCTGTCCAAAAACTTTACTGATTCAAAATGAACAAGATCTTAAGCAGACTAGTTTATTTCAGAATCTAAACTGCTAAGAAATTCAGCAGAAGCTTAACACATTAAGCACCCAGTCAGTCACTGGTGACTGACACTATACTTTCCGTCTGGAAGACAAAAGAGGCTAGGCACTTAATGTGTTAAGAACACAACTGGCCCTCATTTAAAGAGACTTATATGCACTGGATGGCAGCTAGAGAGGGGAGTCCTCACTAGGGAAGGCCACACAGAATTTTGGCAGTCCGCTGGAGCGGTTCCAGTCATGCACTATGATGAAGGCTCCTCTCTAATTCAGCCTGGGCTTCCTCCACGTGCCCCAAATCCTGAGGCAGCGACTCCATGAAAAGGCCCTGTGTCTAATACAAGCAAAATCATAAGGAGAAAAAGTCAATTGAATAGTCTATGTAAACTATTAAGTTTTTAAAATGTAATTACTCAACACAAGAGTTTGAAAAAAAATAATAAAATAAAAGCAATTACTATAGATAGTTTTCCCCTCTAACAACTCTGGAGCTTTCTTATTTATTTGGAGGGGAGAGGGAACAACTCCACACAATGTTAATTCACTCTATGACCCAATGTAACCTTCACTTCTTCCTCAGATATCCTATCTCCAAATGCAGCCACAGTGGGGGTTACGGCTCCAACCTCTGAATATTGGGGAAACTCATTCAGTCCATAAGATATTACAAAGTTATTCTAATATTTGCAGACATCCAGAACCCCACCAACATACCCCAGGTCGTGTTTTCAGGGTTAAGTAAATGTGCTGCTTACACTAGTGTCAGCCACAGGCTGGGGTGTCGGCAGCTGAACCGCATATCTCCAAATGTGAGCAGTCTGGTCTCCAGAAGCTGAGGAGAGAAATGAGGAAATTGTCCAAGTGCACACCAGATGTAAAAAATGCCTTCTGCAAGGCTCTGAGCATCCTCAGACGTGTGTAACTTAGTGATCATTACTGAGTGAGTGTACTTCACTCAAGTAGCTATTTCTGAGACCACATAATGCTATAGAGAATAGAGCAAATGCACAAAATTAAGGTAATTACTTATAAAAATGCTCCCCTTTTAATCTTAGGGTGGAAAGCTATGAGAGTTCAGAGAAAATTTACAAATAGATTTTATTCTCCAACTACCTAACCTAAATAAACTGAAACCCAATTATATTCTACCTTATGCCTCTAATAGCTTTTGAGGTATTTCAGAAAAGTAACACACAAATGAACAGTCCCACCCATTCAACCCTCATGGACCTCACGATCTGCCAGGCACTACGTAAGTACTAACATTCACTTTCCCAGCCAACTCTGCAAAGTGATGCTAGGACTTGGGCCTGGAAAGAGAGGGCAGCTGAAAGCCCAGAAAGGGGCAGGTGTGCCAAACAGTCGTCTCCACTGACCCTCGCAAGAGCACCTGCTGGATCCCATCTTGTCTTCTGGCTGCAGAGCTTACCCACAGAATTGGCCACACGCAGAGGGTGGTACCGTTCTTAGGTGTCAAATGCATTTACTGCCTGACTTGCCAATCTCTCTTCAAATGAGCATCATAACCAAACCCCTGCCTTGCACTCCTCTCTCCAGCCCACTACTTTATCTGTTTGATCCATCAGCTCCTTTCTAAATTGTCTCTTGATTTTTTTTCCCCTTCCTTTCCAACTTCTTGTTGTCACCGGTCTCCCTTCATATTCTCTTTTCCCAATCATACAATAAACAGCTGATTTAATAAAGTTTAAAGTCCTCACCTACCTTATTACTCAAATGTTTTTTCAAGTATCAACTAGCTACTGTGATCAGACCTGTGACTCTCAAAGTGACCTCCCACTGTATTCTACTCACATGTAAAAGCACCAATTGGAAATACTTCGGTCCTTTATCCCAGGAATCAGCAAAATCATGCCCACGGGCCAAATCCAGGCAGCCATACTTTTTGCAAGTAATGTTCACTTCACTCAGCCATGTGGCACTCAAAGATGTAAACATTTACTTTTGGTCCTTTACAGACAAAGCCCTCTGACCTCTGGTTCATCCAAACATTAATTCTTCAAGATTACTGTCAGTGTCCCCAAAACACCATAAGGATTGGACATTTTATAGGAAAACTTCTCAGTATAATAATGAAGGTGTTTTGAAAATCACTATATAAAATATGATAAACCCAAGCTACCACAGCTTAGGAGAACTACCTAGATAAGGATAAGAATGCAGGCTCTGCAGATTGCTGTGACTTGGAACTATTATTTTCCTCATTTTTGTATTTGAAGTGCTGAATTAGGAACTCGGCAGGAATAATGGGCCTCAGAGAACTGAGTTACAGTCTGCTGAGAATCATCACAGCACAAGCAGGAAAAGTGGGCAACTATGATGTCTTTCGTAAAAAAAAAAAACACCAAGAACATGGATCAATGTTAATCTCACAATAAAGTCAAGTTCGTGTAATTTGCAATCCACTACTGATTAAAAGAAATACTACTTAATATATTTTTCTTATTTCTCACATAATTCATAAACATCTACTAACACATATCTAACTTTTATACATAATCCTGATGCTACTGATAAGAGAATGATTATAGCTGTTTTAAGATTATCAATAACTTCATTCAATAAAGAAATTAAATCAACATACCAGTGAGAGCCAACTGCTCTGATGGGTGAAATTTTATAGAATTTACTGCAAAACAAAAATTTTCATAAATAGGTTTAAAATAAAACATCATCAATATCTATTATAGCTACAGGATATATTACAAAGTTAAATTTAAAAAGTAAAAGAACCATTGTAGTTCAAAATTAGATCCTCCCATTCAGTTAATCTGTGATTAAACATGTAAGTTACAGAGAACCGAGATACAATAAAAATACCCAATATCAGTTATCAAATTGCCAAAGTGCAACACCGAGAAAAAGAATATTAATAACCCATTTATTTTTATCTTTAACTCTAGATGCCTTTTCTATGGATAATCTGCAGAGTCCAGTGGGGGACACTATACTGTCCACCCAGCTGGCCCTAAGTCATGCCTCCTTCCCAGCTCTTAGCACCCCATAGTCCAATCACCCACAGAAGCCAGCCTGCACACCCACACCTGAAAGGAGATATGGGCCTCATATCCTATATAATGGGAGGAATATGCTAATTATCTGTTATGCCCTGAGGTGTAACGACCAACCTCATAACAACCTACCTGATCACATATCTGCAGGAGGATGGGGCAGCAAACTACAATGGGATGGCAGAGAGCTACAGAAGGTGGCAGGGCAGCAAGCTATGAAGGGGGATGGAGGAGCTACAGGAGGGTGACAGTGACCTACTGGCACATGGATTATTGTGCAGGGCTACTAGTATGAAAAATATGTAAATGTTGTCAACCTTCAACAAATACTCTCCCTTCAGTGAGATTCAGTTAGCTATGCCATCTATCTATATAATCTTCTATCTATATAATAGAGGAATATGCAAATTAGCCAGGACGCCGTAACATCTTGTAACATCATGACTGAACAGCAGGAACCTGAGGCTGCATGGTGCCTGGCTGGGAGCGAGGGACCTCAGGCCGCACCCCCTGCCTGGTGAGGCTCAACGGGGGACCTCAGGCCATGCCCCCCACCCCAGTACCAGGCTGGGAGACCTCATGCCACACCCCTGGCCCAAGCACCATGACAGGGGACCTCAGACCGTGCTCCTCCGCCCGGCACCAGGCCAGGGGACCTGAGGCTGCGCCCCCACACCTGGCACCCGGCTGGGGACCTGAGGCTGTACCCCCTGCCCAGAGGGGCTTGATGGGAGTGGGGCCGGCCAGTCTGGGTCTCACCCAATGGGGGTGGGGCCAGCCAGGTCTGGGTCTCCTGCGTTTTCGAAGTGCAGGTGGGTGGTGGGCAGGGACCCGATTCTAGTCCTGCAGCATGCCCCAGACTCTGATAGGAGGGAGATTTTCATATACATTTTACTAATTTTCTTTCATTTCTACCACTTCTATTATGAAGGGCAAATAGCAATATTAAAATATTTCCCATAATTAATTCCCTTTTAAGGTGCACGAATTTCATGCACTGGGCCACTAGTTAGAATTATATTTTATATAAGGAACTGAAAAATACAGAAGATACTATTTTACTGTTAACACCAAACAGGTAGCTGTGGGAGGAGCTGATCAAACAAAGAACTGTGATGCTTAGACCATCACCACACTCCTAACAGATGAACAATATAAATATCCCAATTTCAGTAAGACTCACTGCTAAAGAGAAGGAGCACTGCTGATGGAACAGAAGCAAAGAGTGGAAGCACACACTCTTAGACTGTTTGGGGGTACCTTCTCATGCTGACCACCACAAATTGACCCACATAGAGACACTCACCACACAGAATGACCACACATGTGAGTATCCTGGGCAGGACTGAACAGGGGCTCATTGCATATCAGCCTCCTCCTGCCCTCACCTTCACTTCCTCACTCCAGCATAAGACAGACCAAGCTCACTTCTCAATAGATTGGTAGGTGGGGGACACCCTTAACTCTAGAAGCAAAAGGCAGATGCCACCTAGCAATTTATCTACGAGAGTTCAGAGAGTGGTGGGGACCATGGGGCCACCTGTCAGAACACTGAAGATGATGCATTCCAGATGGAAGGACCCACAAAGGGAGTGGGACAAGAGTGGGTGAAATTTGGTCAGAACACTTGGACACACAAGGTGCACACACAGAAAGGGCAGGGAAGAGCTGCTGTGTTAACTACAGCACTAATGGCAGGCAAGTGCCTGGGGCAGACAACAGCCTGCATTGGGTCCGATTATGGGAAAGTGAATCTAGAGTGAATTCAGTTTTTGATAAATAACACACATATTTCAGTTTCAAAACTATCTACCTGTGCCTGTCTGTGCAACATTAAATAAAACACAGACAACTCCTATCTGACATCGGTGAGCTGAACTTTTCCTTTGTGAAGCCTCCACTTAGAGGGATGGCATCTATCTGTCTGTCTATGAGAATGTCCCACTGTCCTGACACCAACTCAGCAAGCCTCCCATCTGGAGTCCTATTTATGTAATAGCACTCACCTGATCCCACATGGCCAATGTACTTGATGAGGCACTTCCCTGTCTCAATGCTCCACAGCAAAGCTGTGTGATCTGCAAATTGAAACGAATAAGAAGAACTGAGCCATCGCCAGCTACATGGCCTTTTCAATAAAAGAGTAAGACAAATAGTCTAAAAATGAGAAGTTACATTACCGCTACTGTCTCTTACAACTCTGATTTTACTATTCTGTAATTCAACTGATCAAAGAAAACACTTCCAAAAAGATGGAAGAAGCTGGTGACTTGTCTTGGGTCATTTACAGGCAAGGAGAAAAAAACCAGGGTCCTCAGTTCCTAGTTCACCGTTATAGACAGCACCCCACTGGAGGCTTAAATACAAAGGTCATTTACATCTCAGGTTCTCTTATTTTTAGTGAAATATTAAAACTTTTCAGAATACTATGTAATATTTAAATGTAAATAGCATCTAAATAGTTCTTAATTATTTAATATTTAATAAATATTCCTTTAGGCCTTTCCATTTATGGGCATAAGAAAAAGATAAAAAGTAGACTTAATAGGAAAATCTGAAAAATAAATGCCAATTACCCAACTGAGATTTCAGAGACATCAGAAAAGGACCCTTGTTATTCTTCTTTATTAGTGGTAAATTCCTTAAATAATCTGGGATGCTCATGTACGAACAGTTTTAAACAAGAGAAAAATTTTTTTTCATCATTCTAACTAGGTTTTACATTTTCTATTTCCACTTGAAAAGGCAGATTCTAGTGAGTAACTTGTCACAGCTGGAAAAATTCATTTTCAACAAGTGAGCACCATTTTAATTTTAGCAATTTTTTTTTTTTTTAAATATATTTTATTGATTTTTCACAGAGAGGAAGAGAGAGGGATAGAGAGTTAGAAACGTCAATGAGAGAGAATCATCGACCAGCTGCCTCTTGCACACCCTCCACTGGGGATGTGCCCGCAACCAACGTACATGCCCTTGACCGGAATCGAACCCGGGACCCTTCAGTCCCCAAGCCGACGCTCTATCCATTGAGCCAAACCGGTGCCGGCAAATTTTAGCAATTTTTAACTAAAGGGGCATTAATTAGATAGCTTTCAAAAAAATGCCTTTTCTTTGGTGAGAAGATAGGGGTCTCAATAACGCCCACCCTGTGATTCCCACAGGCAAACTCAGGGCAGCGGCAGCCTCACTCCCCTAAATCCTGGAACAGTAGTCCCCCTTCAGACCACATAGCACTTTCCTCAGCCACACCTTACAAGTGGGAAAAATGTGAAATGTACTTTCAAAAGCAGATATACAGTTAGCATAAATAACAAGAAAGCCAATTAAAGAAAAATACCTAATATGGCCCTAACCAGTTTGGCTCAGTGGATATAGCATCAGCCTGTGGACTGAAAGATCCCAAGTTCAATTCCAGTCAAAGGTATGTACCTTGGTTGCTGGCACATCGCTCATCGATGTTTCTAACTCTCTGACCCTCTCCCTTCCTCTCTATAAAAAATTAATAAAATATATTGGGGGGGGGAAGGAATACCTAATATGTTTAAAAGATATCCCACCTTCTGCAGCCTCGAATAGTGATTCCTTAACAGAGTTGGCTATATACCCTGGAGACAGACATGGCATCACACCCACAGACTGAGAAAGGCCGGACAGGGGCATCAGAACTAAGCACCAAGTCAAGGCTTTGTATGAATGACTGCTCGGCCACATGTCTCCTCCCAGGGTCATTCTGCTACCAACACCCAAAAGTCATTCATTCACACCAGCTGTTGTACAATCATGAGTAACAAGCAGCGGGGCTAGCTCTGGACTCACCAGCAGATGCAGTCCCCAGCACCACGGGCTGTGTTTTCGCCACACTGACATCCCAGATGCCATCCCTATGGCCGATGTATTCCTTCACAAGCTGGCACACAGCCCTTGATGTGGTGGCCTTGAAGCTGGAGACAATCTAAAATTGCAACAGGAAAAAATATTATAGATGATTAACTGAGCAAATGTTTTTTAAGTTAAAAAAAGGATGTTTAGAAAATGCATAAATCATTGAACAGAATATTTAAAACACTAAAGGAATATGACATAAATGTAAATAATGGAACTCATCCAGCTGGATATCACAAAGCAAGAATGAAGTCCTTACAAAAGCCCCAAAGACCCCCACCAAGTCCCTCACTTCCCATAAGCATTCCTACCATGAAAAGAAAAGCCTATTTATGTGTTCCAAGTCACTCTTCCAAAATTCAAATCATCAAAAAATTTCCAAATTCTGGAACATATACCCCAAACCCTTAACACTAATTACTTTTACTAGTGGAAACTTTCCTTGTGTTTCTTTTTGTTTTGGGGGACTGATACAAACCACATTATTTTTGGGAAACACCAAAAGATGAACCCTCTAAACAAATGAGATTTTTCCAGCGTTGTTTGATGAACACAAGCTTGATGACCCCACCATACTAGGAAGAGGCACAGGGCAGTGGCAGCAGCCAGGGTGCAAGCAGCTCACAGCCAAGCACCACACAGGCCACAAGATGGTGCGGTATCATCTAGCATGACACAAAGCAAACAATTCTCCCTTTCCTTATAAGGAAAAGTGGAAAGCATGTGAGGAAGACACTAATTCAACACAAAGAACTCCACAGAATTTCACTTTTAAAACTGTAAAATCAAGTGAAAAAGAAAAATTGGTGGCTTTTACAGCTATTTGAAACTCTGGGTTAGAAAAGTAAAAAGATGTCTCAGTTCATTCTTAGTGAAAACACAACCCACAGTTGCATCAACTTGGGTGTGAGTGCCAAGTTATTCCTAACACAGCAGGTGACAAAACCAATGTGTTAGGAGACCCATTCTCACCAGCACCATACACAGGTTCTGTCTGACTTGACTTAAATATACATGAAATTGCCGAAACCGATTTGGCTCAGTGAATAGAGCGTCAGTCTGTGAACTGAAAGGTCCCAGGTTCGATTCCGGTCAAGGGCATGTACATTGGTTGCGGGCACATCCCTGGTAGGGGGTGTGCAAGAGGCAGCTGGTCAATGTTTCTCTCTCATCAGCGTTTCTACCTCTCTATCTCTCTCCCTTCCTCTCTGTAAGAAAAAAATCAATAAAATATATATTTTTAAATATACACACACACACACACACACACACACACACACACACACGGAATTACGAAAGAACCAGGTCAACCTCAAACCTTCTTTTTGAAGCCTCATATCCTACTCAATCTAGTAAGATTGTCACTACAGGTGAAAACATTGCTGTATAAATGCCATTCATGTGTTAAATAACATTTAGAAAAGCGTGAGTGGAGAAACATGCACAGCCGACAAGTGATAGCAAGTTTAATTTTCCACGTCTGCCATTTCTATACAGACCATATGAATACGAGAAATGAACTGAAGCCACATGCATCACTGAGCCTACGGGAACAGTAAGGACTGAGGGGCACTGACTCATAAAAACATTTCTGGTGGACTCCAGGAAGAAGTAATAGGCAGTCCAAGAACACTAACCCATTGCTCCTAATGCCACTACAGAGTGACCACCTCTTAACTCTGTTCTTAAAAGTATTAACTGCTTAGCCACAATTGCAAGGACTGAACAACTCGGAGAAAACATTCATGACAGAAAAGCAACATGATGAAGCAACAAATGGATACTCACACATCCTAACTATTATTTTAACTGAGATATAATCTATACTACTTTAACAAAATCCAATGTGTGAATGTTTTCACAAGTTTCTTTCAAGTGGTTTGCAGATTAAACTATCGTACCTGCCTTCCTCCTTCCCAGTTTGCTCAGTGAACTCCGGTTTTCCACTATGTCACCAAACACTTACCTACCTACCTGCTGAGTCAGAGGGGGAAAGTAATGAACCCAGAACACAGAGCCTATCTACTGCATTGTATTAGCTCCTATCCAGAACATGCATGGCACCAATCAGAATATATTCTGATATCAGATCATTTCTCCCAATTTTAAATAATGTCATATATGTTCATTGTTATTCTTTAAGATGGGTACACTCACACTGTGCACAATGCTATAAAGATCATTACCCACATGCTTCTCATAAATTCAGATCAATTTCTAGTATCCAAAATGATTGGGCTTTATATATTTTTTTAAAGCAAAGTGTTATTGTATACACCTTACCTTTGCCCCAATCTTATTTTTCAATACTCATGGTAAGGAATAATTACATATAATCCTTTATTCCTCTACTTCAAAAATTATCAGAGCCCTAGATGATTTGGCTCAGTGGATAGAGTGACAGCCTGCAAAATGAAGGCTTTGATTCCCATCAAGGGCACATGCCCAGGTTGTGGGCTCAATACCCAGTAGGGGACATGCAGGAGACAGCCAATCAGTGATTCCTTCTCATCACTGATGTTTCTCTCTCTCTCTCCCTTCCTCTCTGAAATCAATAAAAAACAAAATTATCGGAAAGTTTTGGCATTCTAAGATCTTATATTATGTACATAAGTTAGAATCACTAAATAAACAATATAATTTCTCTACATGTAAAAGACTAAACAACCGTTAAGACGGTACAACTGGAACGACCTGAATGATCAGTCACTATGACACACACTGACTATCAGGGGTCAGACGCTCAATGCATGAGTGTTCCCTGGTGGTCAGTGCACTCCAACAGCCAACCTCCCATGGCTGGTCAACGTTCCCCAGTCCCTCCCTGCAGCCGGCTGACCAACCTCCCATGGCCCTTGCCCTTACCCCCGCTGGCCCAGCCCTGCCCCTGATGGGTTCTGATCAAAGATGAGGCTGGCCAGCCTGATCGCTAGCTAGGCTGAGAGGCCCCATCCGTGCACGAATTCGGGCACCAGGCCTCTAATACTCTAATAAGAAGTTAAATGAGGAAGAACACAATCTCACCAAATTTGAAAAAAGTTTAACATTTATTAAAAACTTCAAATCTATTTAAGTTTAAGGTAAATACAGTTATTTAAAAGAAAAAAAAGAAAGAAACAGCCCTAGCCAGTTTGGCTCAGTGGATAGAGTGTAACCCTTCGGACCAAAGAGTCCCAGGTTCAATTCCAGTCAAGGGTACATACTTGGTTGCAGGCTCCTCTCTAGCCCAGGCCCTGGGTTTTTCTGTCCATGTGGACACGGGGGCAACAGGCAATTCCTTCTTTCCTCTGTGCCTACACCTAAATTATAGACTCAAGGCTTGTACAGGTGGCAACCAATCAATGTGTTTCTCTCACACCGATGTTTCTCTCTATCTTCCCTTCTCTCTTCTACTCTCCCTAAAAATCAATGGGAAAATATCTTTGGGTGAGGATTAACAACAACAACAACAAAAACACACACAAGAAAATGTCAGCAATACTCAGATTTTTAAGAATTGCTAAAGAATTCCAATTAAACAGAAAGACCAAGTCTGCTACATTAATTGCAGTTAATCTCATTTTGGACCTTAAGGGAAATAACTTTAAGCTCAGGGAACAAACTGGAAAAATAAAAAGTTAACAATATTTATGTCTTTATGACAGACTCACCACAAATTTAAACTTTCGCTCAGGTTTAGAAAAGGAATGTGCCTTTGTTAAGGTTAGGTAATTAATTTACATTTTGTATACTCAAAATACTCCAAAGTAGAGATGCATACAAAATTACCTCAAAATATTACTTCATAATGTTAATTCCTCATAAATATTTCCAAACAATTAAATCCTGCAACTTTAAGAAGATCAGAACAAGATAATTTAAGAAAAAGCAAAATACCACACCAAAAAAAAAAAAAAAAAAAAGAAGCCTTGGAGACAGACCTTCACTTCCTGATTATGCTTGGAAAATTAGAGAAATTGAACTAAAACTTAACTACAGTTCAGAATGTAATTTGCCAACAGAGGGGTGAGGGCATGAATGGGGCGGAGTTGAGGAGTATAGGGGGGATGAGGACACATACCTTAATCAATAAAGAAAAAAAAAAAAAGAAAAGATAAAAAGAAAAAGTGCCCTGAAGTGGGGAAATGATGAAAATAGATATAGCATATCTATATAATTATATTTTATGCTGCCATTAAAATGTGTTTACAAAAAAAAAATGTAATTTGCATTGCTTTATACCTATTTATTAGTATTCTTCAAATTCAGAGTCTCTGTATCAAGCCAAATAATAATACAAAATATATCTTTCCTCAAAAACAAATTTACTGATGCATAATATATTAACTTCAACAAGTATTAGTATCTTGTTATCTATACACTGTGGCCACTTAACAAATCTATCCTTCTAAAAACTGATTTAATACCAGAAGTATCTTTTCCTATCAGACATATCTAATTAAAAATATGCAACTCTGAGTATACAGTACATATGCCCACCTTAAGTACCATATGACTGGCCCACGAGCCAGCGCCTTGCATACCTTACTAGTGGAGGCCTTGTAAGTGGTCTTCAGCTTCTGAGAAAGCTGGCTGGTACTGTGACTGGCTGCCGAGACAGAGAATCGACAATCAATACAGCCATACAATTAAGGAGCCACCAACTTTCAGAGCTGGGATGTAACTGCAGTCATTAATGGGATCGTCCTTTTCACAGAGGAAGACAGTGCAATGGTAGGGTTGTCTGTTCATTCGGACACAGGGGCAACAGGAAATTCCTTCTTTCCTCTGTGCCTACACCTAAATTATAGACTCAAGTAGTGCTGATCATAAAATCAATGAATTATGTCCTACATTAAATTCCAAATTCCCCCCATGTAATGTGCAAGGCACCATTCACAAGTACCCCCCCTTACCTTTAGTTTTCAGTTGGCCTTTACTCAGTTCTGCCCCATCGATCACTTGTCCTTCAGCAGCTAAACGCTCATTAAGAGTCTCAATTTCTCTACGCACTGGAAATAAAATAAAAAAATTTAAGTTAAAATGTGTTCCTAGCTGGTTTGGCTCACTGGGTAGAGCATCAGCATGCAGACTGAAGGATCAAGTGTTCAATTCCAATCAAGGGCACATGCCCGGGTTGCAGGCTCTATCCCCAAAGGGGAGTGGTATGCAGGAGGCAGATGATCAATGATTCACTCTCTCTCCCTCTCCTTTCCTCTTTGAAATCAATTTTTAAAAATGTTGTTTATAAAAAGAGTTAAAATGTATACTTTTTGTTTAAATATATTGACCACTTCCAAACACTGAGCACATAAAAATGCTACCCTGTTTCCCCGAAAATAAGACAGTGTCTTATATTAACTTTTGCTCCCAAAGATGCGCTAGGTCTTATTTTCAGGGGCTGTCTTATTTTTCCATGAAGAAAAATACGGTACACATTTATTGTTAAATGAAAATAAAGGAAATTTATTACCTGTATACGGTACAGTAGTACGGTAGTTGTCAACACAAACCAGACAAACTGTGAATCCTACAGTATCAAGAATTTACTCATTTATTCAATGACAATCATGTCATCATCTTCTGGAACATCATCATAACAATCCAATTCCTGAATTTCCTGGGGAATTTCTTGTGACTCCATTTCTTTCAGAATCAGTGGACCAAATCTCTCATGTTTAGCCTGGGGAGGCCTTATTTTCGGGGGATGCCTTATATTTCACCCAGAAGGAAACCTGTAAGTAGGTCTTATTTTCGGAGGATGTCTTATTTTCGGGGAAACATGGTATCTATTGGTATTTTCTAAACAAAGACCTTAATAATATCCTATAAACAAAATCACAGTTTATAGAGTTCTTAAAAAATTCAAGACATGATTCCAAAAATAGAAACTGGCTCTCATCAAGCAGAGCTGTTGGATTTCAATGTAATTTTTTCCCTTTGTATCTTATTCTATATATTTAAAAACATAATCCTGATATTGTCCAAAACTAAATGTAATATTACAGTGTAACTGAGAACACTGAAATCAAGGGGGAAAAAATATAAAATAAAAAAACATAATCAGCCCTAACCGATTTGGCTCAGTGGATAGAGTGCAGGCCTTCGGACTGAAGAGTCCAGGTTCGATTCCAGGCAAGGGCACGTATAGATCCAATTTCCCGCTGTTTCTACACTATGCAGATGAGAAAAGAGACCAGTGGGGGAAGGACTTATCCAAGAACACAACCAACTGTGGCCTTGCAGCTGGTCCCTGACTGACCACAAATTCCAACACTAAGGCTATGAGCCTGCCATGCTGCCTCCCAGGCCTGGACAAGATCAGTTCAGACTAATGTGAGGCCAAGTGTCTGGGTAAAAGTGCAAAAGAGATCAATTAGAAAGAAGACCACGCACAAAAGGCTCTGAACAAATCCAGTCTGAGCAATTTCAACTCTACCTCACAGGCAATAGGCAGTCACTGACCCTTCCACATAAGTCATCTGTAAATCCTACAGTTTTTCTGGAAAGACTGTACAAATTCATAAAACACAAGGCCTTAGATCACAATGGAAATTCAGCAATACTTGGATCCATACAACTGTGATACTAAAAAAAAATGCTAAAAATCAGATGCAGTACTTAATACCTAATTTTATCTTATAAAATGTTGGAATAATTTCTTCCTCTGTAAATTTTCAAGATGGCCTTTCAAGGAAAATCCCAATATCAAAACATTAAATTTTCTAATAACAAAGTTTAAATGACATAAGATTACATTTAGTTCTAGGGTAAAAATATTCTAATAATATAAAAGCTATTTATTAGTAATCAATTTTTAGAATCAATTTATAAAAGACCTGGTTATGGTTAAAACTTTTACAAACACAAACCCTGGAGATAACAAAAACTGGCAAATAATAAAGCAGTGAGGGGTAAAGGACACATTTCCTAACATTTTGCAAAGTATGATTTCATGTAAACTAAACAGAGCAAAACAGATTAAATTTATAAAACAATTACTTGAAGAACTAAAAGCAAAAAATGCAGCAAATGTTTTCCTTTGCACAGTGGGATGGGTTAACAGGCAGGATAATGACAGATATGTTTCTTTTTTACTCTGCTTGATTCTTCAAGGCAGCGATTACCAACTGGTGTGTCGTAACAGGCAGACTGGTGTGCCACAAGAATTTTTAAAATATGCAATATCTGACTATTTAGTCGGGGGCACTGACCTCTTTTCCCTTAAATTGTCATATAAAAAATAAATAAATAAGAGCCTATAGAGAACGCCTGGGAAGGCACACGAGCATTTCTTTAATTATTGTCAGCTGAATCCAGTGGTGTTTGCAGAACCGAGTCCTGGAAATACCCTTGCCAGAGGCAGGTGTGTGGTCAGCTTGACCTTAGCCTCAGGCATCTGGGGGTAGGTTTCATTATCTAAATCCAGCCAAGCACCAGGAACAAACAAGATTATCAGGCCCAACCAGAAGTGAGGATTACAAGGAACCTACAAGAATGTACATAATCTCCTTTGTCTTGGGCTTTAGTAAAACTTCCTGGGTTTTGCTGTATAAAATAAACTCTGGGTTCCAGTCTCTCCATCAGAAGAGAGTGGTCCCACCCAGTCCCAGCTTTCCCTACTGTATTTGTGTCTGTCTCTTTCATTTTCTCAATCCCCAGTCACCACTACTCAGGAACTGGACCGCTTTCTAGCCTCACTGGACACGAAGAAGAGAGAAATATTTATATCTAACAGCCAACACAACAATAGCCATCTGGTGTGAATAAATAAAAATTGTACCTATTTATTATTTTATCAGATTGGCAAAAAATGTATTTTTTGGTGTGCCACAGAATATTTAGTTTATGTGTGCCATGAGATGAAAATGGTTGAAAATCACTACTTTAAGGAAATGAAGGAAATGCTTCTAAAATAAAATTTTTTTAATGTTTTTCAATTAGTTTATATTCAATATTTTGTATTGGTTTCAGATAAATAGAAATTGTTTTTTAAAAAAAAAACTAAAGACAAGAGAAAGAATATATGCATCCCTATGTTCATAGCAAAACAATTTACAATAGCTAAGATTTGGAAACAGCCTTAAAATGCCCATCAGATGAGTGGATTAAAAACCTGTGGTACATGTACACAATAGAATACTATGCTGCTGTAAAAAAGAGAACTCTTATAATCTCCAACAGCATGGATGACCTGGAGAGCATTATGCTAAGCCAGTCAGTCCACTAAAGCTAAGTATAACATGATCTCACTCATTTATGGAATATAATGAACAACATAAACTGATGAACAAAAATAGATTCAGAGACACAGAAACATCAAACAAATTATCAAACCTTGGAGGGAGGGCAGGGAAGGGGGGAGGGGAAAGATCAACCAATGGACGCAGACAGTAGGGAGGTGAGAGCCTGTATTGGGGGGCAGGAATGGGTGAGAAGAGATCAATGGGGGAAAAGAGTCATGTAAAACTTTCAACAATGAAGAATTAAAAAAAAAAAAAAAGAAAGAAACTAAAAACAAGCCCTGGCTGGCTTCATTCAGTGGTTAGAACATCAGCCTGCTCTAACCATGAGTGTTTTTAGGTTCGATTCTGGTCAAAGGCACAGATCCTGGGTTACAGGTTCGTTCCCAGCATCACGCAGGGCAAGTACAGAAAGCAACCAAACCAATCAATGTTATCTCTCTCACGTCAATGTGTCTCTTTCTCTATCTCTTTCTCTTTTTCTCTTCCTTCCTCTCTTGCTCTCTTCCTCCCACCCGGTTCCCTCCCTTCCACTATCTCTAAAAAAAAAATAAATAAAAATAGCCGAAACCCGGTTTGGCTCAATGGACAGAGCAACGGCTTGGGGACTGAAGGGTCCCGGGTTCAATTCCGGTCAGGGGCATATACCTTGATTGCGGGCACATCCCCAGTAGGGGGTGTGCAAGAGGCAGCTGATTGATGACTGTCTCTCATCGATGTTTCTAACTCTCTCTCTCTCTCTCCCTTCCTCTATGTACAAATCAATAAAATATATATTTAAAATAATAAATAAATAAATAAATAAATAAATAAATAGAAATAAAAATAAATAAATAAAAGGCCTAGGCCGGTTTGGCTCAGTGGATAGAGCGTCAGCCTGCTGACTGAAGGGTCCGGGGTTCAATTCCAGTCAAGGGGCGTGTGCCTTGGTTTCGGGCACATCCCCAGTGGGGGACGTGCAGGAGGCAGCTGATCGATGACTCTATCTCATCGATGTTTCTAGGTCTCTATCCCTCTCCCTTCCTCTCTGTAAAAAAAAAAAAAAATCAATAAGATGTATAAAAAAAAAAAAATCAAAGATCACCCTTGGGTGAGAATTAAAAAAAAAAAAAAAAAAAACACCTAAAAACAATGGCCAACTTTGAGGATCAGGTGTCGAATGAGAAGGTACACATAACTGCTAAATTCATCACTCATGCAGCCCCCCAGAGGAATTTATTGAAGCATCCTATATAATAAAGACATAGTATGCAAATTGATGACCAGGTCGGCAGGGGGGTTAATAAGGGATGACCAAACGAGTGAACAAGCAGGCTGCATGAAGGGACCAGGCCAGCAGGGGAGCAGTTGGAGGTGATTAGGCTGGCAGTAAGGGATGACCAGGCCAGAGGGGGGGAGGGGGCAGTTAGGAGGGAACAGGCTGGCATTGGGGGGGGGGGGGGGAGGCCAGCGGGGGAGGGGGGGCAGTTGGGGCAACCAGGCCAGCGGGGGGTGGGGGGGGGAGGCAATTAGGAGTGACCAGGCCAGCAGGAAGGGAGCAGTTAGGTGCGACCAGGCAGGCAGGTAGGTGAGCAATTAGGTGCCAGCAGTCCAGGATTGTGAGAGGGATGTCCCAGATTAAAGAGGGTGGAGGCTAGGCTGAGAGGACCCCATCCTACCCTCCCCCCACCCCCACACAAATTTCGTGCACTAGGACTCTAGTTCAAAAATGCCCAGCTACTTCTTAAAAATGAATGACCATTTCCTTGAGGAAAGGGCAACACATGCATTTGCCCAGTATAATATGGATCAGTTCACACCTATAGAAATAGAGGGATATGAAGATCAAGTCTCAATTACAAAACACAGTGACCTGGATAATAGCAGATTTGTCAATCCAAGAAACAAGATTTCTTTTAAATTTAATCAATTACAGAAAGAAGCAGATTACTTCCAGCCAGAGGAAGTACTAGTAGATGGAGGTCTGAAGTCTTTGAGAGAATCCTGTGACAGCACTTAACGGGCCTATGTGAAAGATCATTATTTCAATGGCTTCTGTGCTGTTTATGTTAAACTATAGATGGGAAACAGACCATTATTGCATATATTGAAAGCCACCAGTTTCAGCCTAAAAACTTCTGGAATGGTCATTGAACAACACAATGAAAATTCCCATCACACTACCTACAGCCCAGGAGATTGGAGTACTTAAGATTCAGATTCATTGTTATGAATATGGCAGTGTTCAACTGGTTAGTCATAAAGATGTACAAGATTCAGTAACTGTTTCGAATGAAGTCCAAACTACTAAGGAGTTTATTAAAACCATAGAACATGCAGAAAATGAGTATCAGACAGCAATCAGCGAAAACCATCAAACAATGCCAGATATCACAGTCAAGGCCTTGTGCCGGCAGCTTCCAGTTACCAACACCAAAACTGACTGGAACAAGATACTCAGCTATAAAACTGGCAAAGAGCCACAGCCAATTTTGCTCAGTGGATAGAGCATTGGCCTGCAAACTGAAGGGTCACAAGCCCAACAACCAGTGTATGTGCCATGACCATGAATCAAACTGTAACCTCCTGGTTTATAGATCAATGCTCAACCACTGAACCATGACAGCTGGGCAGCATTTTTATTTCAAATAAAATATATTTGTATTGTTTAAAAAAAAAGCACACACACACCAAAAAAACTAAAGACAAACTAATTAAAAATTATTTTGATTTACCTTTAACTCAAACAGATAAGTCAATAAGATAATAATAAGTCAAACAGATAATACATTTTAAGAAATCCTCAAAATACAGTATTTAGCCCTAACTGGCTTGGCTCAGTGGATAGAGTGCCAGCCTGTGGACTGAAAAATCCCAGGTTTGATTCCGGTCAAGGGCATGTACCTTGGTTGGAGGCACATCCCCAAGGAGGGTGTGCAGGAGGCAGCTGATGGATGTTTCTCTCTCATTGATGGTTCTAACTCTCTATCCCTCTCTGTAAAAAAATCAATAAATATTTTGAAAAATATAGTATATTTTAAATTTAAAAAGAAAACCATGAGTTAATGTTTATAATTTACAGTATACTTTAAGATGCATTTACTTTTTATAAAATCATAATTCAGATCAGCAGGTGTGGTCAGCATAACACAGCCCACTCCAAAGATAACCTGTGAACATGTGACCTCATGGCCAAAGGGCCCTGCAGGTATGACAAGGTGAAGAACCACTGATGGAAAGATCAACTTGCATGACTCAGGTGACCCATCCTTCCCACATGCCCTTAGGAATGGGTCAGAGATGACAGAGGAGTGATGAGCCACAGAGTGTGCAAACTCTACACGCTGGGAACGCCAGCAAAAACGTAGGGACACTGTCCTCACTCCAAGTAAATGAAATCTGCACAAGCCAAACAGGAGGAACACAGCTCTGCCCACACCTGATTTTAGTCTGCAGAGCTGTAAGGTAATAAATTGTGTTATTCAAAGCCACTGATCTTAATATGGCAGCAGAAAAGAAAAGGAGTACAGTGGTGAATGTCCACCCACAAATTTGACTCTCAAAGATTAAGTGAAAAGTTATAAAAGTATATTGAGAGGAAATACTCACATTCTAAGTTTTCAATATAAAGATTTTCAAATTCTCTTTCTATTTGACCAAACAGTTCCAAAAGTGTACTGCGAACTGAGGAAGGCAGTTTAGAATCCTGTAGAAAAAGAAGATTTTGTTTAAAATGTATAAATGAATGACAAACTCTGATACCAAATACCAATATATTTTTTCCAAAGTGAATTATCTTTTATCTTAAGCTTTTATATCTTTAGATGTTTTATTTCTTAGACATAAAATGCTTACAGAACTTTGTCTCAAATTTCTATAGATAAAACTAAAATCTACTTGTACAAATGGATACCCAGGATAATATGGGATTCAAGAATAAGCATTTCTGCCAAAACCGGTTTGGCTCAATGGATAGAGCGTCGGCCTGCGGACTGAAAGGTCCTGGGTTCGATTCTGGTCAAGGGCATGTACATGGTTGCAGGCACATCCCCAATAGGGGGTGTGCAAGAGGCAGCTGGTCGATGATTCTCTCTCATAGATGTTTCTAACTCTCTATCCCTCTCTCTTCCTCTCTGTAAAAAAAAATCAATAAATAAATAAATAAATTTAAAAAAAAGAATAAGCATTTCTGCCCTAAGCAAGTTTGATTCAGTGTTATAGAGTGTTAGCCTGCAGACTAAAGGGTCCCAGGTTCAATTAAGGTCAAGGGCACATGCCTGGGCTGAGGGCTCAATCCCCAATGGGGGGCATCCAGGAGGCAGCCAATCAATGATTCTCTCTCATTATTGATGTTTCTATCTCTCCCTTTTCCTTCCTCTCTAAATTCAATAAAAATATATTTTTTAAAAATAAGTATTTCTTTGAAATAACAGAATTGTTTTGTTGTTGTTTTTACAAGGGAGGAAATAAGCCTACCTTATTTTAAAAATTCCAAATTTGTAGAGAAGGCATGCAGTTCTCATAAATAAAATTATATTATGTCCTGACCAGGGTGGCTCAGTTGGTTGGAGCACTGTCCCATACACCGTAGTCATGGGTTTGCTTCCCGATTTAGGACCTAGGTTATGGGTCAATCCCTAGTCAGGGAGCATATGGGACATAACTGACCCATGTTTCTCCTTCTATCTCCCTGTCTCTATAAAATTAATGACTATATCTTTGGGTGAGGATTTAATTATATTATAAATAGCCTTTAAATTCTATCATGTGGTATTATAAATTAATTTAGTAAGTTATATATTAATAGAAATTGTGCCTTATAGAATCCTCAGGTCCACTGTAACTCTATGTAATACCTAAAGATTATCATGAGAAGAGAAAAAAGAAAAATGTCACCTGTAAAAGCAAAACTTATATCAATTAGCCAAAACCGGTTTGGCTCAGTGGATAGACTGTCGGCCTGCAGACTGAAAAGTCCCAGGTTCAATTCCGGTCAAGGGCATGTACCTTGGTTGCGGGCACATCCCCAGTAGGGGGTGTGCAGGAGGCAGCTGATCAATGATTCTCTCTCATTGATGTTTCTAACCTTCTATCACTCTCTTTCTCTCTGTAAAAAATTAATAAAAAATATTTTTTTTAAAAAACATATCAATTAAATGAAACCATTACCATGTAAGTTCCCAGTTAGCTCCTGGTGCCTGCATGCCTCAGCACGTGCTCTGCACACCTCCAGTTCCATCTAAACCTCACGGGAAGTCAGTGTGAAGAAGCAACATCTCAGCTAAATTTTTAGGTATGGTAAGTGAGTAAGCAGTGCCCTAGGAACCAACTGTGTTCACAAGTATTTACCTTCCAGACACAGCTAATAACAGGGAGACTGACACATTCTACATTCCATTCTAATTTCCTAAGGACATGGCCAAGTGTGTAGAGTATTTTCTGTGTGACCGCCCCCTTCCCAGCACTTAAGCAAAATTCTTAATATGTATTTCTAAAAACGTATTTTAATACTTTAACTGCTGACACAGTAATTTTCTAAGTGGTTTTTCAAATTTATAGGCAGAGCAAACTTTTTGATGTTTGTAAATATATATTATGTCTATTAAATTCCTTCACATTAACTTCTTAGAAAGATAAGAATTTTAGGCAAAATGATCTCTAATGACATAAACATTTTACAAGTATGTTTTGAAGTAATCACAGAATGCTCAAGTAAATTTTACAAGGTACCACATGAAAATATATGTAAAGCCTTGTTTATAAATTGAATCTGATAGAACTGGTTGATGTAGCCTCTCTCGATATCCCTCTAAAATACCAATAAAAAAATTTTAAAAGAAATAAAAACTTAAACAATGAAAAATAAACTAAACTGCCAAAACCGGTTTGGCTCGGTGAATAGAGCGTCGGTCTGCGGACTGTGGGGTCCCAGGTTCGATTCCGGTCAAGGGCATGTACATTGGTTGAGGGCACATCCCCATAGGGGGTGTGCAGGAGGCAGCTGGTCGATGTTTCTCTCTCATCGACGTTTCTAGCTCTCTATCTCTCTCCCTTCCTCTCTGTGGAAAATAAATAAAATATACTAAAAAAAAAAAAAAAAAGAAAAGAAATATAAACTAAACTAATCCAATACAATTAATATTTAACACACTGTCTGCCCTGCCTCATGGCCCTTGCCTAGTCTCTTCCCTCTCCGTGCCATGTTCTTGCAGAGCCAGAACCCCTCATTCAATCAGCCCTCCTCAGAGTGTCACCTGGAAGCTTTCTGACTCTCAAGGCCCAATCTCATGTCTATCAATTCCAACTCACCTACACCCACAATGTTTAAGATCCTTACGCAGCCACTGAAATGTTACATTTACTTAAATAAACGCCTCTTAAAATGTAATCGTAATGGAGATAAAACTAAGATGTCAGTGTTAATGTCCCTTTATAAAATAAAGACAATCAAGAAACAATGTGTATGTGAAATGAGAACTTTTCCACTAGAGGGGAAGAGGCCTGACAGAGCTCCTCCTGATCTTTCCTAACAGCTCTTCTAGTGCCATTTGACTTCACAGACCCTGACTGAGGAATTTAACTTATAGTATCACTTGAGAAAACTCCTAACAGAAAAACTACTATGATTCAGTAAAGCTTTTAAAGGGATTTACATTTTACCTCAGCAGCATGTACTTGAATAAAGGACGACCCTCAATGAACGCTCCATGCGCACAGAGATTTATTTAGTCACCCTCTGCAACTACAGACTTCTCATCCCTGAGCTAAGCACACTCCTTCCTAAACTACTCCCAACTCATGAATCTAAGAGGTAATTTACTATAGCTTCTTCACACTAATCTTCACTATTGATACTGCTCCCCCACAAACTCAAAGAGCATAACTGTAACCTCCTCTAGAGAATGATGACCTATTGTTCAACTCAAACTCACTGGTAAAATCAACCACCTGTGCTCTCAGACCCCTCTGCTTACAACCATTAAGACAACTGCTTGCCCCCACACCACTGCTACCATCCTCCCGCTGCTCAACCAGGCAAAGCACCTCAAACCAGCCTTTCAGGACACTGGACTCATCAACAAGTAGGCACGATGCAAGGAACACTGGCGACACCACGATGAGGGCCAGGAACAGTGCTAGGCTGTGCAGCTTAAAGGCCTTCACAAAAGGTTACCCTGAGATGCAATTACCCATGATGCTACATCACAATGGAGGGCAGGCCCTCAGAGGCCAAGAGAACACACATACCTCATATGGCAGTTCATGCTAGGAAATGCTAGCAAAGGATATAGATTTTTTTCACTGCTAGAAATGTAAATAAATATAACAATTAAAAAATCATATCTTGCCGAAACCAGTTTGGCTCAGTGATAGAGTGTAGGTCTGCGGACTGAAAAGTCCCAGGTTCGATTCCGGTCAAGGGCATGTACATGGGTTGCGGGCATATCCCCATTAGGGGGTGTACAAGAGGCAGCTGGTGATGTTTCTCTCTCATTGACGTTTCTAGTTCTCTATCTCTCTCCCTTCCTCTCTGTAAAAAATCAATAATAAATACATATATATATATATATATTTTTTTTTTTTTTTTAATCATATCTTAGTAGTGGCCAATGTAGCTCAGTTAGTGGTGGTATACCGTCCCGTATACCAAAAGATCAAAGGTTTGCTTCCCGGTCAGGGCACATACTTAAGTTTGCGGGTTGGATCCCCAATCAGGGTGCATACCGAAGCAACTGATCAATGTTTCTCTCTCCGCCCCCCTCCTTTTCTCTCTCTCTCTCTAAATCAAATTTTAAAAAAAAAAAATCATCAGATAAGAATTGAAAAAAAAATTATCGTAGACTATTACCTGCACTGACCAACATGGTAGCCAGTAGCTCCATTTGACTATTTAAATGTAAGTTAATTAAATTTTCTTAAATTCCTTAGTCACAGGAGACACCTAAGACTTATTGCTGCTATATCTGATAGCAAAGATCTAGAACATTCATCATAGGTCCACTGCACAGCTCTGGTTCAAACTCTTTCCTAAGAGTTATGAGCTGTGTTCCCACAAACTCATGTGCGGAAGTCCTGACCCTCCTGCATCTCAGAACATGACTTTATTCAGAACTCCAGTGATTGAGGTAAAATAGGATCACTGGGGTGGTCCTAACACAATCTGACTAGTGCCCTTATCAGAAGGAGATGAAAACACAGACACATACAGATGGACAACCATGTGAAGACACGAGTAGGAAACAACCATCTATAAGCCAAGGGCCTCAGAGAAACTGCCCACACCTTGATCTCCAACTTTCAGCCTCCAAGACTATTATTTAGAACTTTATTCTATGTGGTACTTTGTTATGGTCACCCAAGCTCACTAACACACTAAGAAAGTCTATGTGGTACTTTGTTATGGTCACTCAGGCTCACTAACACACTAAGAATATCAAACCCATCTTGTCTGTGGGCACCTTAAAGTCTATGGTTTTTATTTCCAATACTGTTAAAATGTAATTTCTTTTATAGCAGAACAAAGTATTTGTTCATTTATTTATCCATTCAATACATATTAACAGGGTTCTAACTACGTGATAAGGTTCTTTTTGTGTTTTTACACTAGGTTCTGAGTATGCACTGCTGCCCTCCTAGAAGCTTATCCTGGAGACCCAGAAATCAGAGTCCCAGGCAGGTTTTAATATGATCCAACATTCCAATGAGCCAATTTCTCAGATTTTAGCCTTATTTTCCTGTTATTTTATGGCTGATGAATTAGTTATAATTGTGAAGGAATGGTCACAAAACTATATGTATGTATGCTTCTCTACATGCTTACCTATACAATTATGAATATGTATTACATATAGTTATAATCTATTTTATTATCAAATATACTTTTAGGTCTCACAATATCCTTTAAAAACCAACACATTTTTGAAGAATCCAAGATGGCTGCACAGGTAAACACCTAGCCGCAGCCGCACACAACAATTTAAATAAAAGACAACTAAAATATAAAATGGACATTACCCAGAACTACAGGAAAGTCGACTGACTGGAAATTCTACAACAAGAAGCAAGGAGAAGGCCAGAAGGAAGCGCGGAGGAGCTGTAAAAGCGTAAGGTACAGAGACATGCGGCGCACGGAGAGGACGGAGCCGGAGAGGAGGGGCAGCTGAGCGCCTGGCTGGCGATCCCTAGCTGGAAGGAGATAAACGCTCCAACTGTACTGGGCCCCAGTTCCGACTGCTCTGAACCCCAGTTCTAGGCCAGACCCCGGGGACCCAGGCTCAAACAGAGGGAGCTGGGCTTCGAGGCGGAACCCCGGGGGAGCAGCGAAAGGAGGTCCCAGAGGCGCGCACATTGCACGCAGAGAAGGGATGGTTGGCTGTGCCGCAGGATTGCACTGGCGGGAAGGAGACAGGGGCTCCAGATTGCTCTGAACTCCACTTCCAACTGAACCGAACCCCAATACCGGGCTCCTTGGGGGAGAGCCTAGGCTGTTTGGTAGCAGGCAAAAATCGAGGGCACCTCACTCTCAGAGGTGCTTGCAGCGAGTACTGAAGGACCCTGAGACTCAGGAGCCGCATAGAGCGGGGCTGACAGAAGCCGAAGCTGTAGGCTCCACCCTGAAACCCTGCACCATCAGGGAAGCTGTGAAAATGCCGAGACTAGGAAATAGATCACAAACGAAAGAAATGGAGGACAAAAAGCGACTGGATATAGAGTTCAAATCTACGTGTATAAGATTTTTCAAGAATTTCCTAGAAAAGATCGATAAGACCTTTGAGGAGATGAAAAGGGATCAACTAGAATTAATAAGAAACCAACAAGAAATGATAAGGGATCAACAAAAAATAAAGAATACATTGTCTGAAATAAAAAATATTATACAGAGTCCTAAAAACAGAATGGAAGATCGCAAGAATCAAGTCAAAGATTTGGAACATAAAGAACCAGAAGACACTCCTCCGCAGAAGCTAGAAGGCAAGAGAATCCAGAAAATTGAAGATAGTGTAAGAAACCTCTGGGACAACTTCAAGCGAACCAAAACATCAGAATTATGGGGGTCCCAGAAGATGAGACAGAGCAAGATATCAAAAACATACTGAAAGAAATAGTGACAGAAAACTTCCCCCACCTGGTGAAAGAATTAGACTTACAAGTCCAGGAAGCACACAGAACTCCAAACAAAAGGAATCCAAAGAAGACCACACCAAGACAAATCATAATTAAAATTCCAAGAGTAAAAGACAAAGAGAGAATATTAAAAGCAGCAAGAGCAAAGCAGGTAGTTACCTATAAAGGAGCACCTATACGATTGTCAGCTGATTTCTCAACAGAAACCATGCAGGCCAGACGGGAATGGCAAGAAATATTCAAGGTGATGAATAGTAAGAACCTACAGCCAAAGATAATCTACCCAGCAAAGCGATCACTCAGAATCGAAGGTCAGATAAAGAGCTCACTAATAAAAAAAGCTAAAGGAGTTCTTCACCACCAAACCAGAATTATATGAATTGCTGAAGCGGGTTCTTTCAGAAGAGAAAGTAAATAAAGATAAAAATTATGAACAACAAATACATAACTATCAACAAGTGAATCTAAAAACCAAGGAAATTAAAAAAAAAAAAACTGATGAACAATATTAACTGTTAAATATAATAGAATCAGAGGTATGGAAGGGGAGTGAACTGATGATTCTCGGGGAAAAGGGGAGAGGGGGATGTGGGAAGAGACTGAACATAAACTGTGCACCTATGGATGAGGACAATGGGGCGTGGGGAAAGGGCAGAGGGTGGGGTGGGAACCTGGTGGAGGAGAGCAATGGGGTTGGGGGGGAAGGAACATTTGTAATAAAATGAACAATAAAAATTTATTTTAAAAAAATAAATAAATAAAAATTAAAACTAACACATTTTTGTCATAATAAAGGAACTAGAAAAAGTGTAAGAAAACTTAGCCTTATCAATAAAATATTAGTTCATCTGATCAAAAGGGACATCAATTAGATGATATTCTCACTACAGAAAACTCAGGAGAAAGCCAAGAAAACATACTGAAAGACCTGATTCCAGAAACTCTCCAGAGAACAGAAAGATCACTGAAATAATATCTGATTCTCCTTTTAGACGGATAACTAAAACTGCACTGTAGAACAGAACAAAGAAGAAAAACTGATCCAAACTGTCACACCCACTTATTTTTATTACTCTATACTGTAAAAACATTAACCTGGGGCCCTTGATGGTTTGGCTCAGTGGATAGAGCATCGGCCTGCAGACTGAAGGGTTCTGGATTCGATTCCAATCAGAGCACATTCCCAGGTTGCAGGCTTGATCCCCAGGAGGGAGCATGCAGAAGGCAGCTAATCAATGATTCTCTCTTACCATTGATGTTTCCATCTCTCTCCCGCTCCCTTCCTCTCTGAAATCAAATAAAATATATTTTTTAAAAACATTAACCTTGGAATTGAATCCTGTCACTGTGTAGGCTACTATATTTGACAGTTTTATTTGGGGGAGGGAAGTTAGGTTTGTTTTGTTTTTTTAGTGACCCACACTTTTTCTCTACTTTAGAGACATGTATATATTTGCCTATTTCTGGAACATTACAATCATGCTCAGCACTAACTTACTTGTCCTTCTAACATTTCTCTTGGCAAACCCGTCCTCTCCTGTTCAGTGCTGTTAGTTCTTCGTATAGAAAGGCTATGAGATTTGCGTTTCTGTTTTGCTTGGCGAGCAGTTGAACAGCTCCCGCTTTCTGTGGGCATTACTTCTACAAGGTGATAGCCTGGTCACTCCCGCAATAAGCTAGACAAAAGCAGAAAAACAAGTATTTTATTTCTGATTACAGCAAAATGAACTGAAGGAAAAACAGTGGACGAGATAATGACTACTTTTAATTCCAAACTTCCTTACTATGGTTAACATTGACTATATAACTCAGAATATGACAAATTAACATTTTAAGGTAGAGACCACACACAGCCTTTATTAAAAAGGTAATTTTTTTTTAATCAAATTTCATTAACATGTTTTAAAAATCAAATAGCAACAAAGAGTTTAAAATACAGAACAACTCTCCCTTTACCAGCTTTCCCCAGACTCAGCCTACTGCCCAGGAAAACCAATTATAACGGCATGATCTACACAAGGGGTGGGGAATCTTTTTCCTGGCCAGGTTCACTTGGATATTTATTAACATCATTTCAAGGGCCATACAAAATTATCAACTTAAAATTAGCCTTCTATATTTGGTCCAACCCTAATGCCTCGGTAGGGCTAGACCAAATTATTTCTCAGGCCTTATACAGCCCAAGGGCCAGATGTTCCCCACCCATACTAGACTATAAATTCTAGATAAGCAATTTTCAATCCATATGCCACAAGAAGTTTTAAAAGATGCAATACTAGACTATTTAGTCAGGAGCACTGACCTTTTTCCTTAGATTGTCAAATTAAAAAAATGACAATAGTCAACACAATAACCATCCCATGTGAATGGATGAAAATTATAGCTACATTTTGTCAGATAGGCAAGAAACGTTTTTTGTTGTTGGGTTTTTTGTGGGGGGTTTTTTTGTTGTTGTTTTTTTGGTGCGCCCCAGGATTGTAGAAATTAGTTTTTTGTGCCATGAGATGAAAAAGGTAGAAAATCGCTGGTCTAGAGGAATACAATGCAGGCCACATATGTAACTGCAAATTTTCTATTGGCCACATTAAAAAAAAAAAAAAGTGAAATTATTACTGCGAAAAATACTAATGGGATATTTATAGTTTGTAAGCTTCAAACTTCAATGTGTATTTCATATTCACAGCATGCCTCAAATGGAACCAGCCATGTTACAAGTACTTGCAAGTGATCAGGGCTGCCAGAGACAGCAGGTTTTTATTTACCCATTTTAAATTCTACATATTCATTTCATGCTACTATCAATTCTTCCTTTCAATATAACCATAAACATATATTAATTTTAATTAAAAATATAATTTTAATTAACATACACATATTTCCTTCCTCAAATGCAGATTCATATCTTGGACATTTTTTACTCTTATTGATCCTTCCTTTTCCCAATATATGTATGTTAGTTCATGTAATTTTAAGTAATACATGTATTTATCTTCCTTCTTCAACTACTGACATTTTATTTTGACTAGTAGCCCTGTGCAAGAATCCATATGCCAGTAGCTTTCTGCAGGGCCTGGCAGCTCCACGCCCACTGCCCAGAGGGCCCCTGCGGCCCAGAGGCCCATCCTCCCCTGGAAAATACAAACCACTTCCCTCCCTGTTCTCAGGAACTCCGATAAAGGGCTTCCTTCCTCTTTCTCAGCTGCTTTCACCCCAGTGCCTCCACCACCAGCTGCTCATGTCACACTATTCTCTACCTCCAACCCCTCTGGCTACCTGGATTTGACTGTGCCCAGGAGTCAGGGGCCACTCAACTCTGCTCAGCTTGCCGGTTCCTTCTCTTCTTACGCAAGGGTTCAGCACCCGGGCCTGGCCAGAGGCCCATACGCAGCCCACTGAACCCTGGCCTGGTCCGAGGCTCATGCTGCAGCACCTCCCCTCCCCCTTCTCCCCCCACTGCACTGGGGGATTCCAGTGGGGCTGAGAGGTCTAAGCAATGCCATTTTGTTATGGAGGGGTGGTTAATTTGCATATTACCCTTTTATTATATAGAATCCTTTCCATTCCCCACTTCACTATTTTATTTTTTAAGTAAATAAGTTGTTTGACACCATCAATCACATTTAATTAAATATAAGCCTTGGAGACATGAAACATCAACAAACAAAATACATGCAAATGAGAGTGCCACTTCACTTTAAGAAAGACTGTAGTATCCCACCTTTTCTTGAGCTCTACCCCACAGCCACCCATCTCCCAACTTTTGTTCTATCATTTGAGATTATATAAATGTGCACTTTTTAGATTTTGAGCTTAATGCCCTTGAGATCCACCAAAGTTGCTGCACGCACCAATAATTACTGCCTTTTTTTAGGGCTGGGTAGTATTCCATGTACAGATGTACTACAATTTAACCTTTCACCTACTGCAAAAAATATGGTTCTTTCCAGATTTTTACTATTACAAGCAAAGCATTATGAACAGTAATACACAGATTTTTGTGTGAACTCGTTTCCATTTCCATTTGTTTTTAATAATGCCCAAATGTGAGATTGCTAGGGTATAGCGAAAATGCAGTTTTAAAAAAGCATTATTGAACCCTGGCAAGTATAGTGTGGCTCAGTTGGTTAGCCATCACCCTGTGCACAGGTTACTAGTTCGATTCCCAGTCATACCCAGGTTGTGGGCTCAATCCCTGGTAGGAGGTATGCAGGAGGCAGTTGAATACTACCTACCCTCTCACATGGATGTTTCTCTATCTTCCCCTCTCTCTAAAATATCAATAAAAATAAAAAATAAAAACATTACTGAGATAAAATTCAGACTCCACTTAAATCACTCCCACAGCCAACTCTAGACGACCACTAAACTACTTTCTCTACATTTAAATTTTCTAATACCGGCCATTTAATACATATAGATCCATACAATTTGAAGCCTGATCTATTGTGACTGGCTTTTTAAGGCTCATCCACATCACAGCACTGCATTGGCAATTTCTTCCTTTTTATTGAAAAATATAGCATATTTGGGTGTTCTGCTCTGGAGGCAGCGGCGATGGCGGCGGCTGAGGAGGCGCAGGCTGAGGAGGCGCAGGCAGCAGTGGAGGCAGCAGTGGAGGCGGCGGCGGCGGGCTCAGGTGCAGCCACTGCTCAAAGAAAATGAACAGCACCCTGGACCACCCAGACCAACCGGATCTTTATACTATCAAGATGTTTGTGGGCCAGGTTCCGAGGACCTGGTCTGAAAAGGACTTGAGGGAACTCTTTGAACAGTATGGTGCTATCTATGAAATCAACGTTGTAAGAGATAGGAGCCAAAACCCTCCTCAGAGCAAAGGTGAAGATTTGGGTTTTATGTGCAATTTTTTGTCATGTACATATTGTCTCCTTGTAAGAATGATCCTATGGTGCCGGGACCGGTTTGGCTCAATGGATAGAGCGTTGGCTTGGGGACTGAAGGGCCCCGGGTTCGATTCCGGTCAAGGGCATGTACCTTGGTTGCGGGCATATCCCCAGTAGGGGGTGTGCAAGAGGCAGCTGGTCGATGACTCTCTCTCATTGATGTTTCTAACTCTTTATCTCTCTCCCTTCCTCTCTGTATAAAAATCAATAAAATATATTTAAAAAAAAAAAAAAAAAAAAGAATGATCCTATGGTCATATTGGGAGGGGGGGCTCTTTTATAGTCCCTATATATTCCAGACCAAACTCATGTAATGACTTAAAAATAAAAAATGAAAGTGAAAAAAAAGAAAGAAAAAAAAAAAAAAAGAAGAAAAATATAGCACATTTTACTTATCCACTCATCAGCTGATGGACAGCTGGTTATTTCCATTTTTAGGTCATTATGAATAATGCTACTATAAACATTAACATGTAAGTTTTTACGTGCATTTATGTTTTCTCTTGCATATATACCTAGGAATGGAATTGCTGGGTCATAAGGTCACTCTATGTTTTACAATGTTGTTTTTACAAACCATCAAGTTACTTTCCAAGGTGGAAAATATTCCTATCAGCAATGTATGAGATTCTGTCTTCCACATCCTCATCAGCATTTGGTTATCTCACTATTTTTAATTTTAACTGTTCTGATAGTTGTGCAATATCTTGTCATGGTCTTAATTTGCATTTCCCTGGGGGTTGGTGATAGTGAACATCTTTATGTGCGCTTATTTTTGGCATCCATATATCATCTTCAATAAAACGCCTCTTCATTTCTTTTGCCCATTTTCTAATATGTTTGTTTGGATCTTTACTGTTAAGATTTTAGAACTGTTTATATTTTCTCCATATAAGTTATGTGTCAAATACATGGACTGCAAATAGTTTCTCCAAGTCTGTAACCTGTCTTTTCATTCTAACATGATTTTTCACAAAACAAAATGTTTTAATTTGATGAAATCCAACTGACCAATTATTTTTCTATAAATCATACTTTGAATCTAAGAACTTTTCACCAACCCTAAATCCCAAAAATTTTCTCATTTTTGTTTTTTTAAAATATACAGTCTGCACCCTCTCCAATCTGGGATCCTTCAAGGGATGTCCAACTGCCCGTTTAGGCCCAATCCCACATCCAATTGCCCGTTTAATGGGCAGTTGGACATTCCTCTCACAATCTAGGACTGCTGGCTTCCATTCGCCTGCCTGATTGCCCCTAACCACTTCTGCCTGCCAGCCTGATCACCCCTTAACTACACCCCTGCATGCTTGATTGATGCCTAACTGCCCTCTCCTGCTGGCCTGGTCATCACTAACTGCCCTCCCCTCCAGGCCTAGCCCCCCCAACTGCCCTCCCCTGCAGGCCTGGTCACCCCCCAATTGCCCTCCCCTGCAGGCCTGGTCACCTCCAACTGCCCTCCCCTGCTGGCCTGATCGCCCACAACCGCCCTCCCCTGCCAGCCATCTTGTGGCAGTCATCTTGTGTCCAAATGGGGGTGGCCATCTTGTGTGTTGGAGTGATGATCAATTTGCTTATTACTTTTATTAGATAAGATTCTTAATTTCAGAGAGGAAGGGAGAAGAGAGAAACATCAGTGATGAGAATCACACTGATCAGCTGCTTCCTGTGTGCCTCCTAATGGGGATCAAGCCCAAAACCTGGGAATGTGCCCTTGACAGAAATCGAACCCAGG